TTGCGACTGATGTCCCACACTTACATACAGACGGGATCGTCGAAGATTTTCCACACACTTCCTTCAAGCTATTTGATGCGCCTACAAAGCGAAGAAATCGGTTTTCATTCTCCCTGCACTTCTTTTTGATATCACTTTTATGCTTTTGATTTGATTTTTGCCCTTGAGTAGCTAAAAAGCGCAAATCGCTGATGCAAATTGAATATTGAATACACCAGAAAGTGAAAATCTCTGAAAACTTTCTGGGTTCTTTTTTGTGCTGCCAAAAATAAGTATTGCCAGTCGAAAAATAAGAAAATGGAGATGCAGTAAAATGCGAGAATGTAGCCTACAATGAACTCTAATTATCAAATGAAAAATCATTTGTTGGACAAAAACAGGGAAAAAAGTTTTAAATAATAAAAATGAATAAACATCAAGAAATTATACCATGCATTTGTATTAACAAATAAAAAGAATAGTTAAAAAAAGAAGTGTTGAATTATTACACTTATTAGGCACATGTATCGCTCTGTGCTATGCACGCAGGGTTGCGTTTGTCATCTTTTTTGTGTTTAGAATATGAAGGGCCCCCCTTTAAGACCCTACACACGCATTGATATATCGGCCAACCAGTTGACCAACCTACTTAACGAACAACACATGTTTAAGTTAATGCGCCTTTAAAAAATTAAATCGCATTTAGGTTGCCAACTTGTCTACACACAGAGCAACAAGTTGACCAATCTGCCTCAAAATCAAAAGTTTTTGATTTTTCTCCAACCTGACGAACAACTTAACGAAGGTTTGCCTACACACGGCTTATTTACCACCAACTTCTAGCGGCTGGCCAACTGGTTGGCCGATAAATCAATGTGTATGTAGGGCCTTTTTGGGGTGGCGGTCGCTCGGATCAGGGCTGCCAACTTCGCTCAAACCGTGCCATTTTTGGCCCTATTTTACTTCAAATGGCACTTAATTTTAGAATGGCACTTTTGAAAAATAATATTTCAATAGATTTTTGTAAAATCCTTTCGCATGTACTTCTTTTTCTCAACTAAAATTTTCTAATTGTTATAGTTTATGCAACCGATTTATCTTACTATGACATTGGACTTTCGCTTTAGGAATGTGTTAATGGGAAGAATTAGAATGAATGGCACCTTTATGTTTCTATTTGTCACTTTTTTAATCCTCAATATGGCACTTCATAGCTATGTACAATTGGCAGCCCTGGCTCCGATAGTGTTGATGCGAACTTTACCTTGGGTGGAGCCCGGTTCTATTCCTCAGTGTATTTTTACTTTGAATAATCTTGAATTATCTCGTCTGGGACCAACGTAAACTACAAGCCCCTTCATTTGTTAAAAACAAAGGCACTTACCACAAAGAAACATGTGAACCGCTAATCATTTTCCATAGATCCGACCTATCTTTACGCTTTACATTGTGGCTAGACCCAGATTCAGCTATATTTTTAACTTTTATGATGAAGACAATGGTATGCCCTGAAATATATAGTGCCCAACCTTTTACTAGTAATCCGTTGTAGGAAGCTGCATACAGTAGTACGGTAAAAACCAAATTTTTTCTTACTACTATTTAGAAGACTGCATTCGTACAAGCTGGCAATTGTTTGAAATCCGACCCCCGCCCGCCCCATTATTCGCATACACCTTTGCAATTCTTATTGAATAAACTATCGAGTAATTTTTTTTTTAATTTTTGTAATTCTATTTTTATTGTAAAATCCATACGTTTGATGTTTCATGTACGTTTTATTGGGAACAAGACCTAAAAACAAAAACTTTTATATTATAAAATTCATTCCAAGTATCAATGCTAGGTGCTTAACCCAAAAAATTGGTTTTTGTTCCTCAAATACTCAGTTCAGTTATGGTAGCACGAAAGTCATTCAGCAAAAGTCTGACGCATAAGCTAACTCGTCACTGTATTTGAGAAGCTTCCAACACATGAAATAAATATTTACCTTAAAATTAAAATTAAGCTCTCAACAAGCAGACACCACCAGCGCTCTTGATTTTGTCTTCAGCCTTTTTCGAAAAGTATTTGGCCTTAACAATAACGGGCTGCTTAGGCAAATGTCCACGACCCAACAATTTGTAGTAACCCTACAAGATATAAAATATGTTTAGTCCAATCATCCCAAAATTCCTTATAATGTACATATAAATCATTTTAGGTTAAAATTTCTGCTTAATCTGAAAGGCTTTCGCTACATGGGGAGAGCAATTGTACGGTCGCATTCAGTCCGCCCGACGCCTTGGAATGTATCTTCATTTTTGGCAGAAATTCTACATAAAATTTTTAAGGAAGAGATACTTACGAATTGCACCAAATCGATGACGGGTGCCTTGTTGCTCTTCTCTTTTTGCAGTTCAGCTAATTTATCAGCTCCAACCAGCGACCACAATTTGTCCAAATTGATTGTTGGGCAGAATTTGTGTTGGCGACGCAAGTGGAAGTTTCTCATACCAACTTTACCAAAGTAACCGGGATGGTATTTGTCGAAGTTGATGCGGTGATGGTGCATACCACCAGCGTTACCGCGACCACCAGGATGCTTGCGGTGCTTGCCAATACGACCATGTCCGTGGCTCACATGACCACGCAGCTTTCTGGTCTTCTTTCTTTTGATGTTCGACTGTAAATTAAAGAAAAAAAATATTTATTTTCGAATTACACACGTGTTTGGATGTTGGTACACCAACAAGTTTACAGTGGCAGTCACAATTATTTTTTTGAGGTTAAGTCGTGTAACAACACAAAAGTGTAACTTTTACTAGTCACACTACAACAAGGCTTTGCACTTTGGATATTTACTTCATTTTATTTTAATATAAAGTCTCCTACGTTCAAAATTGCATCTTAATTTATGCAAAACTGAAGCAAATTGTGACTGCTAAGCACACTCTGACGTCCACTCACCATCTTGAAACTTTTCGAAAGAAAGAAGTAAACGAAGTTGGCTGCAAATGTTGGCTGTCATCTGGAACACGTCAAGAAAGTGCGCTATTCGATACTTCCACTTACAAGGTTGCATTTCATAGCACTTATGAAGATAGGGGCCCCAATCAGTCCCGGTACGGTACAATATCGTACGATATACGTTGCTTAATAAACAAGGAATGTACTTAGGGGCACTAAAAAAATGGAACTTTTGTATTACAGTACACTGCGGCACAAGAATTGTAAGTAATTATATAGGGTACGGTTTAGTTATTTGTACAACGATTTTGAATTGTTAGGCCTAAACGCGTGATCCGAATCAAAAAACTTTTACAACAATAGTCTACACTTTATTTAAAAAATAATAATTTACTATATCTGTGGACTAACTTACTAATAATCTCGGTTTGAAATATCGTATTTTTTGGCAAATTTCCGAGCAGAGCTGTCAAACAAAAATATCCACGAAATATATTTGCAAAAGGTTGTTGTTGTTGTAGCGGCTACTAAGCCCCGTTCGGGCGGTTCATTCGTCAACGTTGTCGTCAATTTCAGCTAGGGGGAGGCCCAGGAAGTGTCCAAAAGGTGTTCAGCCTATCTTCTTCGGCAACACAGAGAGGAGAATTCTGCTTAGTGATGGTTATAATCCCTAAGCCCGGCCGAAGGCCGCCTATACAGAAAGTGGGGGTTATAATCCTTTTACAAAAAATTCAACTACCCTATTTTCAAACAGCTCGCAAGGGGTCTGTGGGTGGTGAGGGGTAACTTTTCATAAAGCGCGTTCTATACTCTTCCTTTGGAGCAGGTTTGGCAGGACACGCTCCCGCCCCCTCCGCCACTACCACAAAATCGTTGCACAAATAACTAAATATTTCCCATTATTTATTTTCGTACATCAGTATTCAACAACAAAAAACCCCGAAACATTTAAACTTCCTCTATTAAGCGAAAACGCTGATGCTGGGGTTCTGTAATAACATTGAAAAATTTCTTATAAATCGTTTGGCCCTCGCGCCCAGCGTAGTTTCGCTGTACCCAGGTGTGATCCCAATTTGGATCCAATCGCTCGCATGTCACATATACGCGCCCATGTTCCATGGCATACAGCGTACCATTTCGTCCAAAACCAACCTGGAGATACATTTTATTTACTTACATCAGCTTAACAAATATATTTTTCGAATTTTACATACATTCATGCCAGGATGAAAACGAGTTGTTAGTTGTGTCGCAAGCAATGTACCCTGTGAGACCCAATGTCCATCCTGAACACGCCAGCCGCGATGTTTTGGCCGTGGATGTCCCTTCTTGTTGCGCGTGCTGCCTCCAGTCTTTTTACTGGCGTTACGTATGGTCGCTGCAAAATAAAAAAAAAAAAGAGTTCCATAAATATGCCTATAAACGGCAGTGTTCCATTTATTTCTCACTCAATAAAGTCTGATCCCCTTTGAGACTTTGCAGTGATAACTTTTGCATTATTGTAAAGGACATTGTTACTAATTTTAATTAACCAATCTGTGGTATTGTCCAGAACTCCGTAAAACCTAAAAAAAAACTTTGGCACTATCAGCTGTTAGGGTTCGAACCTCCCGTAGTACCCGATAACTAACTTTATACTTTCCAAAGTACTCGTGGTATCGAATACTTTTCAGATAGTATCGATTGTTGGTTTTTTTGCAGCATCGTCCAAAAATATAGAAGCAAGTATCGATAGCGTTCAACTTACTACTAATATTATACATAACTGACTGAATTGGTTTGACTGTTGAAGATCTCGCGTTTTATTAATTGCGAGTGAGCAATGAGTGTGATTTAAATACATAAGATGAAAAATTTGTTTCAAAACTTGCTATCGTCCATCCTTGCTAGCTAATAGGGAATTTACATGAGGCGATTTTCAGGCGATTTTTAGTTGAAAGCAACAATCGCCTGGTGTAAACGGCCTTTCAACTAATCGCTTTCAATGAAGTTGGTGGGCTGCCTACTTTCGTTCAACTTTTGATTCAACTAATCGCCTGTGAAAGTTGAATCATGTAAATTCCCTATAACTTTGTTATTGCTTTCGCTTGCAAAATTTTTCGTTAAGCGACCGGAACTCACATAGCGAGCGGAGAAGTGGCGAATTGATGATATTTCGTAGAACTCAACCGAAATACGTACAGTTAAAGCTGATCTCCGATGTGGAGAAATACCAAATCCAATTGCATGCGCTTTCGAGCAGAAAATTTGAATTCTGTTATATATAAGCTTACTCTTTTAGTACTGAGTAGTATCACACTTTCCGGCCGATACCGCAAATAAAACTTGGTATCGATACCACAGAGCAAGTCTTGAGTTTCGAACCCTATCAGCTGCTCCCCGGCAGGACTGCCAGCATTTTTATTTTTTATCCGAATTTTTTCAGCGGCTGAAAATGCACCCGAAAGTAACGGCATAGCAAATCTAATTTCTATTAAAATTCGTATATATATTTTTAAATTAATTTACTGAAATATTTTTTAAAATTATGGATACAGAATGTGAAGAGCCACAATCGTCACAGGCAGTCACCGTACCTACCGAACTTTTGCGTGAAAAAGTTAGAATATTTTCACAACGGCACCGGGAGCTGCAACGTGCCAAGTCCAACGATGCCTTGCGATTTGGTTTGGGCGAGATAAACAAAAAAGTGGAGGAGCTAGACAATCTTACGGAAAAGGATGTAAACGGTTTGATAACGCGAATAAAACGGCGCAAACATGCATCGGTAGAGGATATGTATCGCTTGAATCATGCATTCCTACAAAGTATGGACCATATCAAGCTGTTCGCCAAGGCGCCCGGAGCACTGCACGTCATTGTTAAAGAGCTGACTGGTAGGATTCATATGTTTATGCTTTGATTTCCAATTGGTTTGAACTCTCTCTATATAGGTATCGACTCCGAACGTCAAATTGGCGCAGTGGAATGTCTTTGCAATCTATCACTTGGCGAAGCGCCAGTTTGTGACAAAATCGGAAATATGGCTGGTAGTTATTTAGTTACTTATCTCGATAGCATTGATGAACGTTTAAAGCGTACATCACTTTGGACAATTGCTAACATAATCTCCACAAGCCAGAAAGCCTCGGAAACCTTGGTGCAGATGGAAATAGTGCCCAAGTTATGGCGTCTATATGTGGATGACAGCGGCGATAAGGATCCTACAGCTGATTTCAGAGAAGACGCAGCTATTTGTTTGCAGTTGCTTGTTGTGCACAATCAGCGCGTATTGAGAGCTGAAGATCTGCTCTTCATAAACGAACACATGTGTAAAAAAAAACGTAGCAGCGCTGCAGGCGAATATCATTTGCAGATATTATTTCATACCGAAATTGTTAATCCGATTATGGAATTAAGTATGGAACACACCAACTATTTAATCGAATTCATTTTGGGTAATTTGTGTAACACAGAAGATTTTTTAAACATCAGCAATCGTCTAAGAATTCTTTATGGTGTTCGCCTTTTAGCGAATATATTAGCATGTCAGCCACATGCGCTCGGTGTGTTGATGCAACAAATTAGAGTTGTCTGGAATACGAGCTTAGAAAATATTTTAAATAAAATTTTTGAATTTGGGGAAAAGGAGCTGACGGTAGAAACGATATATCTATTGAGACACTTGGTGCCACAACAAGAAGAGGTTGGACAGCAACTGCCTTGCAAATTAGAAAATCTTCGAATTCCTAAATTTGATGGCTACGAAAAACTACTACATAAATGTTAGGGGCGTGTGAATTTAAAATAGAAGTTTGAATATCTTTTTAAATAAATATTTCGCAAAAGGAGCGAACATTTAATTAAAATTCTTGGTTTCAGTTAATCCAAGAAAGAATAAATGGGGTTTTTCCAGCAAAATACCATGGCTGCAGTCCTTTAACAGAGATTAAGCATCACGGGGATAAAATTGTTTCTAACACGAGTCTCCTAATTACATGTGTGTCAAAAAATATACACATACAAAATAAATATCTATTGAAAGTGGGCGCAGTCAATCTTCTAATTATAAGAAATAGATTACGCTACCACAAATTGGAGGTTATCCATCCATAGCTTGCATTAACACTAAAAGCTAATATTTAAGAACAAGTTTGTGAAAAATATATACGTTTACTAATAATTATATACCTTAATTTAACTACTATTTCCCGAGCTCGATTGTACAAGTTTGTCATGACAAGATAAATGTACCACTTCTCCGTTGGGATAACGCACGAAAGCTGGTGGATTTGTGAAACGCTTCTTACATTGTGGACATACCGTGAACTCAGTGAGAACAACCGATTTATTTTCCTCGGCACGAATCTCTTCTCGGACACGCCGAATTTCGGCCTTAAGCAGCCTGGCCATTGTTTCGTTTTCATGTCGCTCCGCGATTTCGGTACGCAAAACTATTTCCAGGTAGTTCCATATAGAATGCACCGGCATGTCATCGGGCAGCAACTATAAAATAAATAAAAAATGAAATCGCAAGTTTTTTTGAGTACTCAAATGCATCAAATACCGGTATCACGACATAGGGGTCAATTTTTTCCGCATATTTGTTTAGGAGCCCTAGTATGATTTCTTCATTCGGTCGTAAAAAGTCGGGATGTAGCGCAACGTCCTCATATGGCGGCTGGCGAGATGGATTCAATAGCGTCATCAATAGAGTTGCAAAAATATTTTTATCATCTTCATAATTTGCTTCACAATACTCAGCTGCTTTTTCCACATCACCTAACACTTGCACGTAGATTGACAGAACCTCTTCGTGCTTCTTTAGACGACCGAGAATCAAGGCACGCTCTTCAAGCAGGTCATTTGTGGGAAAATCTCTTAGCACCACCTCTGGTGAATAGTTCTGTGAGTTCTTAAGGAATTCACACAGGTTTTCTCGGTATTTACGCAAATTCTCTTGCGATTCACTATCAAAATAGATAATATAAAAAAAAATCTCACACTTTCCAATTTTTTTTTAAATGCAGAGAAATGAAACAAACCTTTGCTTCGTGGGTTCCTCTTGTTTAACCTCTTCGAGTAGGCTATGCACCTTTTCGCGATATTGTTTAGCTAATACGTTGTGTAGGAGGGTATTGTTGTCCTTCCAGACATTGATTACATGTTCCAAATATGGAATGACTAAGGCTTTGTGACGACTTAGCAGGAAATCGAGTACATTGGCTCGAGGCAAGTTTTCTACCTCTATAAAATTATCTGTAAAAATACGTAAGCCATCATCAGGCGCTTCTTTTAAAACCCAATCGCAGAATTCGAAAATTAGCGGCAATTGCGGACTGCCTAATTGTTGTAAATATTTTATAGTACGATCATGTCCATAAAGGCTCGAACCTTCGACTGAAGCCTGCGCCTTCAGCAGTTCTAAAGCTTTCTTATGTTTGCCATTCATTTGATATAGTATGATCAACTCGGAAATTTTATCATGTTTCTTCAATGTCTTTTCCGATTCCTCTAAATGGCATTGATTTAAACGCAGTAGTGGCGCAACCAAGGAGTCATTAGTCTGCAATAGGAGATAAAGAGCAATGCAGAATTTTCTACGTAAAAAATTTACAACATGAAAACCAAACCTGCAGATAACATTTTAATAGTGTTGTATCGATAATTGAAAGCAGCGATTTTGAGGTACTTTTTGTATCACGAAGTTTTACTACCTCTTTTTGACGTGCCAATGCCAAAAACTCTATCAATGCAAGGAGCGCATTTTCCATATCTTTTTCCTCCAACTGAGGCATTAGTGGGGCGGGCACAGATGCTTCATTAGATTTGCTTGCCTGATCCTGCAGCAAGTTTGGAAAAAGCCGTATAACATCGTAAGGGTCGGCAGCCGCTTTTTCGAACTCTTTCATAGAATCGGCAAATTGCTTATTAGCAAACAATTCACGCGCATAACGCACATGTATTTCGCGAATCGTAGCTGCTTTGATGTCCTCCGGCTCCTCGGAGATATTCTAAATTAAATTAAAACTATAAATAAGTCTGTCGAGATATTTTAAGAGATATGCTCAATTAGTACCGTCAACCCTATGGCCAGTTGAAATTTCTTCTGCTGCAGTAAAATCTGCCGCTGCGTGGGTATGTCTACCATACGAATACACCATAATTCTGAATTTGCTGCAGCGAATAGTGTGCCTTTTCCTGAGCGCACTAACAACTTAGTTTTACTGAGCTCAGGTATGGTTTGCACAAGTGTGTCCTTATTTAAACTGCTGCCTTCAATGCACCGCACTTCTATGGCATTTGCAACGCGACCGATTACATAGGGCTCGTCCCAAACTTAAAATGAGTTAGTGAAATGTGGTTAAGTTATACTAGATGCTGCTTTCTTTTAGTATGTACCTATATCGAGCAATGCGCTGCTCCACATCATTGGTTTTGGCTTATTTTTGATTTCAACATTTCCAACTGCTGCCTCAATTGTGCCGTATGTCTTGAGTTTTTCGTCATTTTTCTTCACATAAACACTTGGATCAATGGCAACTAGATATTCGTCCTTGGACACGCCCAGCATATTATGTTTTATAAGACAAATGCAAGGATCCATGCTATGTGACGATGAAGTAACAATCAAATCGTGCTTCTCAGGCTTACTCGCCAACATCTGGATAAACGATTTGCCAAATCATTTCTGATTCTTGCTAAATTTATTGATTTCTTACATTGTAAATGACGTACTCATCCTTGAATCCAATACAAACCGCATCATCTACCCAACAGATCGCCTTTGGCACATCCTTCAATTCGATATTGAAATCAAAAGTATTTAGTTTATCTTGTTTCCAGTAAAAGAATTGTAACTGGCGTTTAATTGCACAACATACACCAATAACGGTAGTCATCTCGCCAGTCGGTAATTTGGTAGGCTAAAAGAAAATGTATGTAATTATGGATTTTGAAATAGGTAAAGAAGTTTCTCTACGACAGAGTACGAGAGCGTCATGATTATGAGTCATCCATACCATTAAATTTAGTTTCACAAACCTTTACATCCAAAGCAAATAAAGTGCAACCTTTTGTGACCATAGCACTGTGTATCAATGTAAAATTATTACCCACGCCAGAAATATCGCAAACATGCACCGTATTGTCAGTCAGCACAAATAGCAAATTCTCAGCCGGTATGACCTCCATCTGTACAATAGATTTTTTGCTAAAGTTTTTATTAAACATTAACATGTCTACAGTTCCATTGCTGTCCACTGAGTACATGATAAGCTGACCACTGCGGGTGCCCAGGATGACATTGTTATCTGCAAACAATCAATGGAAAGGACTATAAAATCTATGTCCTGGTTTGTGGACAGTTTTATATTTGAGTCGATACTCACCATAGGCGGCAATGGATTCTATTTGTACTCCTTGTTTTAAAATTGTGTGAATATTATAAGCCTGGTGCATTATTTACAGAATTACGCCTAGTTTTTGCAAAAATCTGTGATAAACAAAGAAAAATGCATTGCATTTGACAGCTAAGTGCAACTTTGGAAGAGTTGCCAACATTTTATTATTTTTAATAAATTTATATATCCGGTGTGCTATAGCGTTCATCGTACAGTTTCATAAGTAAAAACACTATCAGCTGATTGCCAAAATATGCCTACAGCTGAGATCACCTGTTTTTTGGCATGTGCTCTTATCTTTTACAATTTCTTTCATTTCTATTACAATTTCATTTATTTCTATTACAATTTATTCAAAATACACTAACACACTGAACCAAAAACACCAATACAATAACCAAAAACACACCTACAGCCTGCCAAAAACACACCTACAGCCTGCCAGAAAAAACGGTAAGAAGAAGAGTTACTTTACTTATGGAACTGTACGATGATAGCGTTCTTGCGCATCATAAGTTCGTTTAGCTAACGAATTTTAAAAGTCTTCTGTAAAAATCTCGGATGCAAACATTTTAATTTCGATCGGTTTTTATGCTTTCCTCTGAGAAAAGAAGAAAAAGAATAATCTCAATGAAAGTCTCAGTCACCACCTAATTTTTTTTTCTCTTAAAGTAAAACATAATTTTTTGGTCACCTCAAAGAGGCTTTTAAGGTAAGTTTATTGTTTAAGTTATGGCGATAATTACAATAATTTGGATGTAATACGTTGATATACATGTATGTACATATGTATGTAGTGGTCGGCAGTACATAAAATCCTCATAAATAAAATGGGGATAGTTTGGTTCTATGCTAAACAATAATTAAAATGATTTTTTGTTTACAATTTAAAGATGAACTTTTGTCAGACGCTATATCACAAAATAATTAATACAAATTAAGGAAATTTCAATATTTTAACACCTAACAAATGGGCAAAAATATATATTTGAGTGAAGTTATATTAAGTTGTTTGTCTTAGTAATATGCAAATGATTACGAAATAAAGCGTATCGCAAGCGATATTTGTTGATGAAAGTGAAAACAAAATTCAGTGAACTGAACAATATTACTTCCTAATTTCAGCTTATAAAGAAGTCGGTCAACTAAATAAAAAGCTAATGTAATCACACCAAATTCACTCTAATTCTCCTTCGTCATCTTCATCTTCAAAAAGTGCAATAATACGTTTGCGTTCAGCCTCTCTTTCCGCTTCGTCTAGCAGCGTTGCTGCTGGCGGTTTCGCCTGATACACTGGCATATGATTGTGATACATTGCATTGTGTACTTCGAGTGCTGCAAGTGTCTCGAAGAGTAGGTTGCACGGATTGCAACGTGCACTGAAGCTAACATTTCGAGGCAACGGTGTGATGGGAATGGATTTTGGTGTAACTGCGATTGGTGATGTT